TTATAAATATCATATGCTCATTTATTTATTATATATATATATATAATAAAAGAACTATGCTATATTTTAATGATTATGAGCTCCTATTAGTTAGTTAGGCTTAAACCAGATATGAGTTTCACGTTTTGATGCTAAAAACATTTCCGTGGCAAAATTAAATCTATTATCAGTTTTAAATGTATATTTTGCAACTTATGAGGAATATATTGAATAAATTCGAAGCGTCGCGAAATCTGGATTGAATGATATTAGTATTGTTTGTAACTTTGAATATTCTTAGAAAATTAAAACTAAACCGAAATATTGCAGGGTAAAGTCATCTTTTAGAACAACACATTAAATGAGACGAATTTAAGATCGTTCTAATTATCACATTCAATGAATGTATTTCAAGAGACGCTTACTTCTTAAGTATTATTGGGAGACATCATATTTGGTGTGGCCACCGTCTAATAACTGTTGACCCCGTATTTCAGTCCAGCTATCTTTGTGAGTTTTCCACAGCTTATGAACTGTTTCACATGAGTGTTTATAAGCAAGTCAACGTTTAAGACGTAACGTATATTCTTATAAGTAAGGCCGACATAATACTTCGTGAAAGCCAAGGAAAATTTGGTGTGTGGGCCTTCCCGTCTCTTTCATTCCACCTCCCCCGTAATAAAATTTCCCCTGCCTTCTTTAGAAGTATTGGGCTCATAGCGTGTATTCTTATAAGTAGGACTGCCGTGAGATTTCACGGGAGCTTGTTTGTTTGTTTGTAATTAAGCCCAAAGCTACACAATGGGCTATCTGTGCTCTCCCAACACGGGTATCGAAACCCGGTTTCTAGCGTTGTAAGTCCGCAGACATACTGCTGTGCCACTGGGGGGCCGCGCGGGAATGCTAAGAAGTGATTCGGAAAGATACAAAAGCAAATAATTCAAAACCAGAATTCACCAAACGAAAAATTCGAATAGAGAAATAACAAGGCAATGAGAAACAAAACAAATTGATCAGTGTAATTAAAATTAGTAATCATGTAAATTAATATATATATATATATATGTTTACAAAATGAAGGAAGGGATAAGAAAATGCAAGTTTGATGCAGCAGAAAAGAAAAAGAGAACAACGTACAAAGAATAAAAAAAAACATTAGGGAAGGGGGGAATTGTTAAATAGTTGAATTATTTCTACGCAGGTGTATCAAGCAAATAAATTACGTGAACATAAACATGTCCACAATACGAAATATAGGTGAAAGCTTTTGTAAGATAAGATTTAGAAACAGTCAACTTAGGATTTTATTAATAAAAAATATATGCGCTATTTTACCAAGAATATCAATATATGTAAATATCACCGATAAAAAAAATTAAAGCTATTCGGAAAGTTATTTATAAGAAGTGAATTCAAAAAGTATAACAAAAATAACACTTGCGCTTATATAATAAAAATAACACGTATAGCTGGTTAAGAAATGAAAGTTTGACGGTTTTTAAAGACAGCAGTAATCGTTTTGTATTATGCTACAGCATATCAGATGATTCGAAAATATTATAATCTATCTTATTTCATTTACACACTATGCTGATTTATTGTTTTAAAATATAAAGGTTGTTTGTAGTGACAGGTTAATAGAAATGTACGACAAAACATTATCCTTTTTTTTCAGTAATGACACTTAAGGTCAATTTTAGTCATAGCCTAACCATGGAAAGTGTTGTTATGTAAAAGCTCTAACAATTGTTTTCAGTATTTTCGAGGACCTTTACACAATTTACATTGATTTGTATATTTACTACAGTAATTTGATATTGTGCCATTTTTTTTGTAATAAAAGTCTACATAAAATCTACAATGGTTCTAAAGCGTAGTCACTAAAAATTTCAGCAAGACGTAATTTTATACCAGCGTGATAACGTATAGATCCTCAACATATCGATCCTTTACAAACTGCATCGTGAATGAATGAAATTATACAATAAAATTTTTAAAGATAACAGGAAAAATATTCACTATATTACAGCTTGAGAAGCTAACTCAAATAATTTGAAAATGTCTAAACCCGTCACATACATATATATATATTTATATGTTACTGTCAATCGAATAACGCGCCACCATAACACACTAACACACGTTGCCTTGGGCACATTTATCAGCATCCTTATAGCTGTCGCCATGGTGAAGACTTCCCATCCGAGAAAGTCAGGATTACTGGAACGATGCGGGTCACGTATCACGTGGCGCTTTGCACCACTTTCTTTTCATTGCCCTTTACTCCTGCCTTGAGAAGCGAAATCCGTCAATACGTCTCATTGTTCGGATAACGTATTGATTATAGGTAATATGCCATAATTAAAAGTAATAAGACTAATGATTCGTAAAATTATGAGGCTTAAATATTTTTACACCTTGTTTCTTTTTTCATTTTCTCTCATTTAACTTAGAAGTTTTTGAAAAAAAAAAGAAAACATAAAATTTTCAAATTTGTTCATTAGGAGTTACACTCCTTTAACCCTCAAACTGCCGAATTATTTTTATAACGTTCACTACCGGTGGGATCCACATATTCTATCGTATCGAGTAATTTTACGTTTTTTCTTCTTTCGACACCAGTGTTGAAAGTTAGACGGTACGATCCGTTACAGAGTACCGGTAAGAATTTTAATGTTGGTATGTCTTACAAGAAAATCATTTTCTCACGGTCATTTCTTGTTTGTTGTGAAGGAATACTGCACTTCGGACTCTATTCACAGTCACGTGATTTAGGTACTGTATTTGATTCCATTCCAACCTAAGAAATGTTTTCAAATCAAACTTAAATGGACTCTTTTTTTCCCTACTAACTGTAGTAGTTGTTAGTATTAAAATGTGTACTTTCAAATTATAAAGTTTCGATCCTCAGAATTTAGCAGTGTTGGTGTATGTATAATGTGAGTGGTGTGTTTGTGGGGGAGAGAAAACACTACTATCATAGTGGTAAAAAATTAAAGTTTATCACTGTCCGACACTCAGTGTAAAGGACTAGAAAAAAAGAAACTAAACAAGGGTTAAATCACTCATTTTCAATGTAAGACACACGGTGAACCCCAACAGCAATAAGTGATATTAGCTGTATGATTGATAATATTTTTTTGTATTTTTTATTGTGTGACTCATATGCTGTTAAGGACCAACAAAGTCATGGACTCACAAGCAATTTAGTGCATAACTATTTAAAAAAAAATATGTTTTAAAAAGCTGATGGAGTTGTACTCCATTTATAATTCTAGGGTTAAAGGTGAAAAACATAATATTGATATGTTGATTACTAATGTCTTTGATGCACACATGGAGGGTAAACAATTATTTGAGAAGCACGAGTTTGTTGATTCTAAAATAACAACTCTTTTTATGTGAATATAAATATATCCACCTATACCAGTTATAACTTAGATTTCAATCATATGCTAAAGTTATCGTTGAAAAACACATGAGGGATAAACGTTTCATTTCATACCATTTTCAAAATTTTAATTTAGAAAGTTTTACCAAAAATTTGCAATTGAGAAGAAGACTAACGATTTATTGATCATGAAGGTATGGCAATTTATTGATCATTAAGATCGAAAGTCGAGCATGGAAAGCAAGTTACAAGAACTTCTTGTCCAAAGCACAGAATAACACATGATGAAGCAGAGATAAAGACTAATGAGGAGATTTAAAAAAAAAACAATTGAAAGAATGGTTCTGAAAATCTTTATTGATTTTAATCTCATGTCATAAGAACTTTAACTATGAGAAAACCTTTACGTTGCCTCTTTCTACTACGTACAATACCGTTATAGATGTTATTGTTTAATGTGACGTTTCGGATTAAGTGTACTGTCCTTAGTCTAAGCCAATTATACATTCCCTAATCTCCTCCTCCACCATCTTAGAGTGCTACAGTTTGAATAATATAGCTCACACCACTTGTTTGGAAATAATACGTGAAAGATAAAGATAAACTCTAGAAATAAAGGCTTAGGATGTTTTTTTCTTCGACCACTTTAAGTTAAAGCACGGACAGTCCTTTTTAACCACATTAAACCATTCATGCTTTAATTTTTCTTTGACAAAAATCAAGAAGAAAAGTTTGACTACTGCTATTTCTTGAGAAATAAGCTAGAAGTATTTTTCTTTCGTTTTTAAAATAAGATAATTATTAATTCTTTTTTTTTTTTTTTAGAAATTCGCCATATATTTTGAAAACTTCTCTAAATACTATTTAATCTAGATGGAAGCTGTTCTAACCAGTTATCAATATTTACAGCTAAACATCAGTTTCTTTTCTTATGTCCCCCCCCCCTGTGGTTCAGCTAAGTATGAGAGCTTATAACCATAAAAATCAGATTTCGATACCCCTGGTGGTCACAGAACAAATAATCCATTGTGTTTCTTTGAGCTTAGCAACAAACAAATCTTTTCTGATAAGTCGCTTATTGATGCCCCCCCGGTGGCAGTATGTCCGAGAGCTTATAACCCTAAAATTCGGGTTTTAATACCCGCGGTGGGCAGAGCACAGGTAGCCCATTGTTTAGCTTTATGCTTAATAACAAACAAACAAAAGCTTATTGATATGCACAGTAAGACATGATCTAATATTTTTCCGGCCTGGTGCCACTACCTCTGACGTCAGATCACACACTGGCACGTTACCTCATGTATTTCACTAGCACATTACGTCATGAGAAGTTTATCTCAAAAAACTATGATAATTTTAGCAAAACAAAATTAAATACAAAGTTATCTTATGATAGGCCTTGATGAATCGCACTTTTATGAATGATATAATAAAATATGTACTATCTGTCAGTCATCTAAAAATACTAACTCTATTGGCTGTTGAAATAATATAACTATTGTTATCTACCTGTAAGATAACATGTAGACGAAGAGAATACAGGAGAAGGATTTTATAATTATAGATAGTCCTTATCACAAAAGCAAAATGTTATCAGCTGTATAAGCTAAGTTTGACTGATCTGGCTTCTCATAAATGTGACGTCAGTCTTATTGAAGAACCGCAATTGAACGCCGCTGAAGCGGTCCAGTGCTTCATTTCGAAAGATGGAGGCTAAAGGAGATGAGCAGGTAAGCTTGGATTTCGTATCTTACAATATATCTTTGTAGTGGTTCTTAAATATAACAAAATAATGTTGTATACGATCTGAGCAATGACTCTGTAAATTGTGACTACTAACACGTTTGTTTCACTTTCAACTTATTTGTGATAGAACCGTTTAATAGAAACAGTTTCAGCTTCCCAACCCAGAGAAGCCTCCATGTAAACCTTTCGTGCACTGACGGAAGTTTTTTTTTATATTCGCATATCGCACAGAATTCCAACTTTAGTATACATTTCATCAAGAGAGGAATAAGTGGAAAAGCAAAATATTAATAAAAAAAGTTAAACTGTCTAAAAAGGGTAACCAAACATGCGTGATTAAAAAATGTAACAACTGCCTACTAATAAACACCAAACATGAAGAAGATAGATTTAAAACCAGATAAGGATATTGTACTGTAGAATAGATTTAAACATACTGGATAAGGAAAAGTAACCAAACATGCGTGATTAAAAAAATGTAGCAACTGCCTACTAATAAACACCACACATGAAGAAGATAGAGTTAAAACCAGATAAGGATATTGTACTGTAGAATAGATTTAAACATACTGGATAAGGAAAAGTAACCAAACATGCGTGATTTAAAAATGTAGCAACTGCCTACTAATAAACACCACACATGAAGAAGATAGAGTTAAAATCAGATAAGGATATTGTACTGTAGAATAGATTTAAACATACTGGATAAGGAAAAAATAGTAACTGACAACTGTAAGTGATATATATATATGTTCCTTTATTGAGTCAGCTTTTTGTTTTTTTAGGTAACGAATGATTAGCTAAAAACTGAGTTTTCGTGACTGGCCGACAACCAAATGTAATGAAAAATATATGTAAAATTTAGCATTTTAATGAAAAATATCTTTTCGTGTTACATTATAATATGCGTTGATATGAACAGAAATATTTATATAAAAATTTAAAAAATATCAAGACATTAATAGGATCTTTTGTTTACGAAATAAATCATAATCTGAAGATAAAATTGTATGAATGTATTTGCTAGAGGGTTACACAGGTATCAATTAGTCTACACAAAGGGCTATCTGTGCTCTGCCCACCACGGGTATCGAAACCCGGTTTCTAGCGTTGTAAGTCCGCAGACATAACGCTGTGCCACTGGGGGACTTAGTCTTTGATCTATAGAATAATTTTTAATATAAGTTTCTTTCGAAGAACAAGACTCCTTTTCTTCCACTTCTATGTTAATGAATTGAGAATTTGCATAATTAATCCCACGTTGTCTTTAAAAGGATTTTAGCACATCATCACCAGTTTCGTCAAAATTCATTAACATTTGACCACTGTTTCTCCGATTTATTGGATAATTACTAGGATATGTTTAAAACTAGTTAAAATAGCTATTAAAGTTTATATTTTCTGCGAAGAGAAAGCAAGTATTTTCTTTTACAACACTGAGCAGAAAGTACACCATTTAAACTGTAATCGCCTTTAGGTGGCGCTTAAGTGAAAGCAAATATTTAGATCACACAACTTAATCTCTGTTGAATTTGTTAATAAACTTTCTGCCTTTCTTTAACTAAGCTAATTCTGAGCAATAACTTATTTATTTGGAGTACCTTATAACGAGATTACTCACAGGGGACATTGCTGGATAACTGACATCGAAAGAGCTTTACTATAAAGCTATAACATCTGTTTCCACGTAACTTTTGCCATAAAAGTACTCCAGCGGACTTTGGATTTCATGTTGTTGACTTACTTTATTTTTTTCTGTTTTGTATGTTAGCAGTGTACGTACATAAAACGTTGCTTTTTATATTGAGATAAAAACATAATAGGCCAGTGCACACTGGTTTTAATACAGTTCATATAACGGTAGAATATTTTCATGTTCGTAGGCAGGGGTGCTGCGGGTTCGACCGTACTCCTAAATTGCACCCATATAGGTATAAGACATATTTCAAGATGTAAAATACATCCTCAGATACCACAAAAATGCACCGTTTTCGGTGAAAATTACATTAAAAAATTCAAGGGGCATGTCTCTCACTAGTAAACGGAAAATAATTAAAATTTACGAATCTAACCCACTCACTATCAAGCAGTAAAAGCGGGAAAAAGCTATAAGTATAAGTGTAATTCAGTTGCTACTAAGTAGTGAAATAGTAATTTCTGAAAGTATGTATAAAAAAAAACTTGTGATCAAATTAAACTAGCTATTAAGATCAGAATTAAAATAATTTAAAAAAGTGACTAATAAATCAAGGAAGACAATTCCGTATAACGAACAGATGGAACTACTTGAGATTATAAATTAATACACCAGAAAACCGCTGTACTGATGAGAATTCACTGAAGCATCAGTTGGAGACCCTCGTTGTTGAGGGCATTTTTGTTCAATGTGTTTCCTACGAGGAAGAAGTTAGTTTGCGTTACGATTCCTCTCTGTGTTTCTGTTCTTAGCTATCAAATACTACTAACACAGGCATAGCTATGAGCGTTTCGTATCGATCGCCTTCATCTGTCTTGGTGATTAACATATAACTCAGACAATGCGAGGCCAATTCCCAGGGACCATGTTTACATCAAGAAGTGATACATTTGAAAAGTTTTTGTCGATGGTCGCTGAAATATCCTATCTATCAGTGACTTGTACAGAGGTGGGCTCAAGCTCCCGCCTTCCTTCCCCAAAATAACCCCTTTTTTCAGTCATAAAACATTGTCAACAACTACTAAAAGATACACCTGATTCCACACTTTGCTTGTTGTGAGCTATTAGGGAAACAAAATAAGATTTCAGCTTTAAAATGAATGGGACTTGTACGTATTTACAGTAAAAAATTATCGTGATATGCTGGTAAGTGTTAATACAAAAATTCACTATTCAGTTTTAGATTTTAAGTGATTATAAGGCTAATTATATAGGAATAAATGAGGATCCATTTACTTCATATGGCTTTTTACCTCACGTGTACCAGAGGCAACTTACAGTCCCCATAGATTCCTCTAACACCCCCTACCCAGAAAAACAAGAACTTGCTTTACGATGCTTGAAAAGTGCCCCTTTTTTATAAATGAGACCGTGCCCTCTTACTGTCCTCTGTACGTTACTGCTATCTATACTTTGTATTTATGAGTACAGACAATTGTAACTCATAAGCATAATTAATCATGGTTTACATAAAGATTTGTTTTATTTCTGTAATTTGTTGTTCCATCCCAGAAATGTTTATCTAGTGTATGGATTAATTAAAAGCCTTTTTTTCAGATTTAAAAACTTTGACTCAAGCAGTGGTACTTGCAACAACTATTCCCTGTTATTTGTGTATTTATTATGACTGAAATATTTTCGTTAAAATGTGTTATTACTCTAGAATATCTAATTAGTAATATAATAAAATTACAAGAGCTTATTGAAATACATGAGATTATCTAATTAATGAAAAATCCATTACATGAAAATATCTTATTAGTAATAATTCTAAATATAGAACTATATAAAATTATAGGCAGAATATTCGCGTGCGCAGTTGAATATAGTAGCCTAGTAGTCCTATCGTAACTAATTGTCACGTGCCTGGCTTGTTGTTTATCCCACTTTAGCCAAATTAGCGTTGTCATAGCGATAAAAGAAAACAAGCACAAAATGCTCACGCAAAATGATTTTTAGTAAGGTTTGACAGAAAGCGTTATAATTGCTTGACTTTAATTGTTTGTTTTTTTTTACGCAAAGCTACACAATAAGCTATCTGCGCTCTGTCCACCAATAGGAATAGAACCTCGGATTTTAACGTTACAAGTTCGTAAACGTAACCGCTGACCCACTGGAAACAACTGCTGAACTACTAATAAAAGAAATAGATTTGAAACGTATCCGTGAAAAAGAAAAGGTGGTTATTCTTGAAATAACAATATTATAAAGAAAAATAAATTCGAAATAACACAGGCAATCAGAACTTTGGTATATAAACTAGAGAGACATTACGTCTATTTCTACGACGATTTTTATCGGCATTTCACTTATGATGATATGTCACAATATTTTATTTCTGCAATAAAATGTTATTCAGAAAATATGTAGTCAAGTCGAAGATGGCGCGAAAAGAGAAAGTCTTCAATATGATTTAGTGGTTGATTTATTTATATGGGAGTAATAAAATTGAAAGATAAATTATTAGTTATGTCTGAAAAGCTTTTTACTTCAGTTGAAACAGAAGAAAGTAGTTTGGGCTTTTGTATCGAAATGGACAACAGATGAATGGGCAGTGGGCAAATGAAAAGAAGCGTTGCTTATGCCTAATTCTTTTGATGCTTTAAGTCCTTCGATAAGTTTTTTTGTTTAGTTTTTCAACTAAAATATCAGGATCTTATAGCACGAAAAATAGTTTCGAAAGATCTAGAGATTCTAGAAATGTTTGCTCTGGTTACGATCAACAGTGCACAGTCTGGTTTAATTTACTGATAGAGCAATAGCTTAACGAACTACGGTGTGTCACAAGGGCCATGAAGAACAAGAGAAAAACAAAACATTGACTGGACAAGTGTAATATCTGTTGCAGTAGTAATTTCTTGGTACGCTCTTTCCTTATTGCATTTAAACAGTTTGGGGTAATTTTATGTTTATATTACAGTTGAAGGTGACATCATGTAGTTTCTAAAATAGTTTGTTATCGTCGTAGCAACTTGTAGGGAACAACAACATAAAATATCATCAGATGTAGAAAAACAAAGACGTGTGTTCGAACAACGAAAGTGAAAAAAGATTTCGAGGATCCTCGCAGCTTACACATTTCAAGTTAATTTGTTACATGGCATGTTCGGAAATTATGTTAACAAGTTTATTAACATTTATTTCTTAATATGTTAGAACCCCCCTTCCCTCCCCTCCCAGTGGCACAAAAATAAGTCTGAAAGCTTATAACACCAAAAACCGGGCTTCGATATTCGCGGTAGGCACAGCACAGATAACCCATTGTGTAGCTTTGTGCTTAACGGCAAA